TGTCCACGTCATTAAACGTTCGAACGGCGTGAACTTCTCGATCTAGTTGGTCTTGGATAAAATCGAATCTGCATGCGATTTTTTGCGTAGTAGGCTTGTGCGGCTTGTAATTTCTCCACGGCCATATCGTGACGTTTTCGTTCTGCTTCGATTTCGGCCACGTTTGACGTTCGTAATTTGTTTTCTGGAATGATGCCTTGCTTGACGACCATGTCTTTGGTGGCCATCGCCAGTCCCAAGTCGAACACGAGCATACCCATGTCTTGCAGGCTGAAATCGAGTTTCGGTGCTGGTTGTTTGGTGATCATTTTGCTCAATCGAGCGTAGCCTATTTTCCATCGGGGGTCGACATCATTGTATATAAGATGCAAAAAAAATTTTTTTTCAAATTGTAACAGGATATGAGGTTTTACTACTAATTGCGGTGCTGTCGGTAACGCTGTCGGAGTGATGCTGCCGGTGCTGCTGCCGGTTTGAATTTGTACGCCAATGCAGTAAAGACGGTGATGCATGCAGCCGATATGGCGTACAGGGTCCATTGACGACTATTTTTTTTCTTCTGCTTTTTAGGTAACCAGCCTTTGCGACTGGCGGCTACTTTTTGAGGATTCTTTTTCTTGTCACAGAATTAATTGTCGGTTGTTCTAAAACATCGTCCTCCCACGGTTGTTGTTCTGGAACAGTCTCCTCCATCGTCGATGACATCTTGTATATAATTGTTTATATTATTTTTTGCTTTAAATCGGCAATGCTTCGACGTGATGATCACCACAGTCAGAGGAGCTAGTAGCATACCGTATCGGTTGAACATTTCGCAGCTAACAGAGCTCAAAGCATGGTCGGTGAATGGATCTTTCTCGGTGTCTTGGGACATGTACAAGCAACGTTCCTGTGGCATGGGAAGGAAATACGATGCGATGCCAACGTAGATTTGCGTCATTGTCGATCCTATGGTTGATCATTTCAGCGCCGATTCTGGCTTCGTATCTCACGTACAGCTTATCGGTTTCTTTGGCAGGCATGTTTTTAATTTTGCAGGGAGTGAGGTCTCCACCGGAGTGTTGTTTGGCTTTGCCACCGACCGCCAGCATCACCAGTCTCTCCCACTTGTTGTTGCTTTTGTTGTCATCCTCGTTTATCATTTGCTCAGGCAGTTCGTTGCACTCCATCCTATAATATAGCAAACGATTTTTTAATCTAATAAAATAAAATCCAACACACGTGAAACACAGCGATAGGAAAGTCAAGTTACATGCAACGAAAATTTCGAACATCCGAAAATTTGCTTAAGCTATGCTTAAATTTGCTAGAGTTTCGCTAGAATTTTTGCTAGAATTTTGCAAGAATTGAGCTAGCGAATCACAGCAAAAATAACTTGGTTTCTGGAAACCCGATGGAAAGTGGACTGAAACTTAATTAATTTTATATGGTACGGGTTGGTCCGTTTTCAATAGGGGTTTGGCGTGTTTCGTTTTGGCGAGCTGTTTTTTCATGCGGTTGCATTCTTGTTTGCTCGGGATGACGTCGTTTTCTCGCAAGCATTGCTTGAACGAATCCCTGTCCTTGCAGTGAAACAGGGTGACCCATCACGTCTGCTCCTGCAGGACTTTGAGCACCGAGTTAAATTTTTGCGTCTGTACCTAAACGCTGTGTTTCATATGCCGACCAGAGAAGGCCAGGTATGACAGCATGTCTCATTTTTTAACCATCTCCCTGTTGGCGCTACAGTCGTCCAGGACGAGAAGCATCGACCCCTTTAAATTTGTTGTGATAAGCTGTCAGCCAGTCCTGCAAACGCGTTCCCGGATCCACTTTGTGCACGTTCGTGTTCGTCACACCCACGCTCTCGCTGTGTACGTCTTGTTCACCCATAAAGTAGGGGTATCGTATCAACATCATCTATGTGGATATAGCGAACTACATGCCATTCAAAGGCGCATCGTACCAAAAGCATTTGGTTTTCATCGATCGTGTTCGGATTAATGGTGATCGTCATGGATTGACGCATGGCTCTGACCCCCAGGGGTTCCCTCAATCTTCGGAAAAGATCTAGTTTTTTGTCCGTATTGGGACATTATTTATATTAAGTATATAACATAAGTTTGATAAATAAAATAATTGCTGAAGGTGGTGGCGAAGATATTCCCATGGACAATTTTGGGGTGATAGAGCCTAATTGCTCGATGATGGTGACGCGGACACCTCTTTAATGGGTGAAAGCATAGGCGATACCCTGTTAAAAACGACCGAGGATGATTATTATGATGCCAAAAGGCAAAAGGAAAATCTTGCTCCTCTTCGAAATCGATGATCGAGGGATACTGCAACTGAAAGAGGCTCCAGGCCTTGATCTCATGCATTCCCGTAGGAGGAAACCTCTCGCCTTGTTCATGCTGGCCAGTCGCCACAGTGCCCACTTTGTCCGCGACCAATAAAACCTGTGAGGTTACGGTGGTGCACGACCCAAACTTCCCCCGAAGACCGTCCGGGCGTTACACACAGTGCAGGCTGGGTGCCACTGCGAGCACGATCGATGATGATTTACAAGACATGCCCATCGCGTGCAAGATGCCTCGAATGACATCGAAAAATATTAGCCACGTACATGAACGAACCCCTGCCAGGTTTCGAATTTCCCCTTTTGGAACTGTGAGGGCTAGACAAGACCTTAGGAACCATTCGTGAAGAACTCGTGAACAGCATTGGTAAACTGAACGAAATCGACAAGCACATTGCTCGCAAGAAAAGAAAACTCGTCGTGGTACATGACAATAAGGCCATAAAAAACATCATTGAGAAAAGATTGCACAGCCTGGAAGACGAGAGACGGACCCGATCGGAATCCGCTTCCTCCTACAGGGAAGCCCTTCAATCCCAAATCAGCCGCATTCGAGAAACCATCGATCGAGTCTTGAACAAGGAACCACGTTAGTCAACAGGATCCGAATGTTGTTTCGGGAACAAGGGATCACCATCGCCAGCGGTCTGACGGCTTTGGGCTTTATCATATTGACCCTGGTCGTATCGCTGACGGGCGGTGGCGGCGGCGGCACACCAAGCCCAACACCAGGCCCATCAGGTGGCAGCAGCGACGTCAGAGACTGGATCAAAAAACATTTGAAATCTCTCGGGGAAGCCTTGGTGAGACTAGCCGGCAAAGCCGCCTGAGCTAACGCTGCCTGGCATCTTGGGCAGCATTGTTTCCTGGTTGTATGGCTTCTTAAGATCCGTTCACACGTTGCAACTCGTTTGTTACAACATGTTGCATACAACAAGTTGCACGTCTTGAGTTGCATGCAATATGCGTTCACACACAGGCCAAGTTGTATACAATTTTCGGTATCGTGAGATCTCGGTTTACATGTTGCATAGCAACGCACTGTAGCAACTAGCATACGGTCATGGCGTCCCTATACAACAGCGATAGTGATGACGATGTACTGGAAGCGGTGGTTGTCGCAATGCTCGTTGATATTAACCATGGCAAAGCCGACCGTTCGTGCTGGGTCGGTCCCTGGATTGCAAGACGAAGTGATCTAGGAGCTTATAAAGCTTTAATGAGGGAACTTGAAGCTGAGGACACAAAAAGTTTTGTCAATTTTTTACGCTTGGACAGAGAGAGTTTTGATCAACTGCTGGGCAGAGTGTCACCTATGATAACCAAAGCTGATACACCCATGCGTAATTCTATACCCCCTGGAGAAAAACTCGCCATCACACTTCCATATTTGGCCACAGGTAGGGCTATGAACAGTCATAATTTCATGAATTATAGTTAATGTATCACACAGATCACCTACTGTTTGTCGATCAGGTGTTTTGTGTTTATTAATAAGCGTGGCAATCTATAAATAAATAAACCAACCACTCCTGACTGCGTTAGCACCAAATGCTTGAGTGCAAAGCCGCTGTCCCTAACCCTGTATAGAGTTGAATGAGGCTCCCGAAGGTGTGCCACATGTATACGCTCAATAACTTTTTGATTATTCAGAATGAATCATCTGTGGGTTTTTTTTATTTAGGTGACAGTTACAAGTCTCTAGAATTCTTGTATCGGGTACCAAAGAACACAATTTGCACTTTCGTCCCTCAAGTGTGTGTGGCAATTTATGAAACTCTCAAGAAGGACTTTCTGAAGGTGAGGTGCATATCAACATGTCAAAAATTCTTGATATTTTTCCCCATTGTTTAAAAGATGACTAAATTAATCATTAAGCTGTAATGAAACACAATGTGTATTTACTAATAGGTTTAACTTCTGTAGTTCTGTGTAAACGTTGTTATTATGACGTCATGACTTTTTTTCAGATGTCCAAGCATTATGAGGAAAACGAATAAATCCCATGTGATTTATCGAAATAATAATATTCATACTCATCATCTCAAAACACTCTTGTGTAAACATAATATTATATAGGTTATGTTTTTCACCAGTAGGGCTTTGTAATGAATGGGTTTGCTTCACTTGGTGTAAAAATCTACATAAATTACTGTAACAAAGCTAACACACTCCCAATGATATTTGAACACCACTCACACTGAAGTACAACAGAAAAGCCTTAATAATATGAATCATAATTTATTATTTAAACTGGCTGACAAATTTCTTGGGAAAAAGCTTTGCAGCTGACCTGAAATACATATTCTTCTTTGCATATATTAGGATTTCAAGTCAAGCTTCATATAATTATCTCAATGAGTTATCATTAAGGACAGATGGCATGTGCACAATACATATAAAATCTTATTCTTCATTTTGATATTCAAAAATAAGTTGTACTTTAATTTTCAATTCATTCCTTTTACTTAGGCTGGAAACTCGGGCCATCTCTGATGCCAAATATTTGGCAAAACGTAGTTCTCCATTATTTTCACTTTGTGATTTTCTGTTTTCAATTGACTTAAGAGTAGCCAAAACTTGGAGGGGAACACTGCCCTATCGCTTTCTTTTAGATGGGGGTGGTGGAGTACAATCCATGGTTTCAGCCTGCGCATTGTCTGGTTCCACATTTTCCTCAGCTTGAACCACTTGTTCCACTTGACTGGGTCCATCCTGCTCAGTTGACAGTATGTTGGTTTCCTGTCAGATAAAATTGGTAGTGTAAGTATATGGTATTATTTCGAAAAATGTATTTTTAAAATATCTCAAATTGATTTCAGGTGCCACAGTCAGAAGAAGAATGGATGCAAGTTGCAGAGGGATTTGAGGAGAAGTGGCAGTTTCCACACTGTATCGGGGCTTTGGATGGAAAGCATATATCTATAAAATCACCTGCCAAATCAGGATCACTCTACTACAGCTATAAAAACATTTTTAGCAATGTACTCCTAGCTCTTGTTGATTCTAACTATAGATTTGTGTATATAGATGTTGGTGTAAATGGTAGGTCAAGTGATGCAGGTATATTTGCCAATTCATCACTGTATCAGGCACAGAACAGTAACTCTTTGAAAATTCCAGGTCCAAAGCCATTGCCTTGAAAATGTCTTGATACTCCCTATGTGATTGTTGGGGATGATGCCTTTCCACTAAAAGATAGGGGCGGTGGGATAGTCTAGTGGTTAAAGCGTTGGCTCGTCACGCCGAAGACCCGGGTTCGAATCCCCACATGGGCACAATGAGTGAAGCCCATTTCTGGCGTCCCCCGCCGTGATATTGCTGGAATATTGCTAAAAGCGGCGTAAAAACAAACTCACTCAGTCAGTCACTAAACGATAACTTCATGAAGCCATATCCCCACCGGGACTTAGTTGTGGAAAGGAAAGTATTCAATTACAGACTTTCCAGAGCCAGACGTGTATCAGAAAATGCTTTTGGTATACTGACCAACCGCTTTGGAGTATTTCAAAGTAGCTTATCATTAACACCTGAGACATGTACAAAGGTTGTTCTTTCATGTATTGCTCTACACAACTTTCTGTGTACAACAAAAGACAAAAAATACACAGAAACAGAAGTTTTTTCCACTGGATAATGGAAGCAGGTCCCAATCACTACTTCAACAAGATGGCAACAGGAGTGCCGATAATGCAAGGCAGATTAGGGAAGAATTTGCAGATTATTTCTGTTCTAATGGCCAAGTTGATTGGCAGTGGGAACACATTGTCTGATTCTATGCATGAAGGCAAATGAAGTGTTCATATGGAACAAGCTATTTTCAGCCATACCTGCAGCTTTTTTCCAAGTCCAATACAGTAAAATGGCACTAATTATTTGATTTATTCATGTTCAGCTTATGTCAATGCCGACAGTAACTTGTTTTAAGTAATTAATAAAATTTGGTAATATATATCTATCCATACCAATGGATGTACAAGGTTTATCAAAAGTTTACATTCTTACAATACTAACCAAGTTACTTATAGTTGTTTTTTGATGAACCTGGCTTCTAAGAAAAGGATCCAACAGCTTAAACCATTCCCAGGTAGACTCATAGATATCATCTCGACCAGCCCCACTTTTCCGGGAGAGGGTTTCCTTCCTTAGTTCCTTGCAATAGTAGGTCCGCAGAGCAGAAATCTTAACTGGGACCTGATCAGCTATAATGAAAAAATGAAATTTAAATATTTTCATTTGACATATAAACATGATAAATGTATAATTTAATGTAAAATTTTTGTGTAAGCTCAAAAATATGCATGTATTTACTTTTTACCCTGACCATGCTGACAGATCTCCAATAATCATGATAATGTAAAATACTGTAGATGTTTCAATGAATATTGCTGTAATGCTCAACTACTACTGATCAAATTATCACTAAAATGTTAAACTTAAAATAATAAAAGTATAGATTGTTGCCAAAAAAAGTGAGGCACTTTTATCGTTGATTAAAATTCAAATTTGTCTCATTTTTTGGGAGGGTGGAGCTATACATAATGTTAATACTTAAAAATATTTAAGTTTGATAGGAAAACGTCTTTTATAGAGAATTTATAGGCCTAAACGTCATCATTGCTTGAAAAACAGTCAGAAGAATGTCCAGTTATCTTATGTTAATATTTAAAACCAATTTACTTAACATGATTAAACATGAACAAGAAATAAATTTAGAATAAACACTTTATGTAAATATTCAAGACCAACTAATTACCCACGGTTGAAAGAGTCACCAAATATAGGTCATTCTGCGAGAACCACGTTAACTGACAGATACTCTGTCAATGTTTTCGGTAAAATGTTGCGTTATTATAATAAAATGACACCTTTATAAATGGATCTTTTCATATTGTACATATGTTTAATTTACCAAAAAACCATCAACAATGCTTCTAAATTGCCTAAACTTGTACTGATAGCAGGCTGTGGTTCAATGTTTGTGTTTTGGGTGTACAGTCAGGCCCCGTATATCCGAACTTCAGATGAATGATCGAGTGTATGGATCGTGACTCTGGTTCGCCATCAATGATAATGTGGGCGATAATTCATGACCAAATTTAGGTAAAGTCATACTAAATGTGTTAAGCAAAGCAGTAAGATTAGTTTATCAAATAGAAGCACGTCGAACATATTTCTGTCACTCACCTGTCATAACACCGTTCATCAGTTCGGAAATGGAAACGTAGGCGGCGTGTCTGTGTTCACGTTTTGAATAAAACGAACTAGACACATTCCAAAGACACTCGTGGGAATGATAGTATGAAATAAACCTTTCAATGTCATGGTTGCTGTGGTCAATTTTTTCTTTTACATTTTTCCGGCGTTGTTGTGTCGTCCGTTGTTGTGGTGTCGCCATGTTTGATGTCTGCGTAAATATTACGACACTACGAAACGCGATCTGATTGGCAAGAACCGTACAACTAGTCGCATGGAAATAGAACAAGGTCTATTCCTTGCAACTCGCTTGCAACTTGTTGCATGCAACAAAAATCTGTCCAACTCCCCTGTTCACACTGTGAAATTTGTTGCATGCCACAAGTTTTATACAACTAGTTGCAAAGTGTGAACGCACCTTGATCTAAAACGGTCACGTGGCTCGGTCAAAACCTATGGGCATTCGTCGTCGCCATGGCCAGCCTGTTGTACGTCGACGCTAAAGAATTTTTAATCCGACAAGGCACAACCCGACAGGGATTCCACCAACCACCAGCGTCGTTTTACAATCGCTGTGTTACTGATTTTCGACCATGGCCCGTGTCGATGGGCCTGGTGCGGGTTGAACGCTGAGCTCCGGTGATGGTTGTGGTGTCACTATCCCTGTTTCCCCTGTACTCGTGGTTGGTGTGACGTTACTCATGCTGATATCGGCGTTGACACCCAACTTTGATCGCTGGTCGCGGTGACGATCTCGTTATTATATCCCACCACTTTGTGGATCCTCAGTTGCATGCCGCTTGGAGTCATGTACAACCCCACGCCGAACACGTAGTCAACTTTCGAACGGGCGTTTCGCAGCACGTTTTCATAGCATTCGATGGCACTTGGCAGACCCACCTGTCTGGCAATGGCATCCTGGACGTTGGCCAGTTTTTTTCTGCGCGTCGTAAGCCATTCCCTTACCGAGGATGCCGGAACGCGTTTACGCTTGCGCACCCAGCAGTGCCCACAGGTACGTTCGAATCGAATCGTTTAAGCGGATGGTACCCGCGCGAGTAAGCCCTTTTGAATTGTCCAGCATGAACATTTTCCAATCATTAGCAGGTCCCTGTTTAAACCTCCAAACGCAGTAATCCTTGTCGTCGAAAGCCATGTAATCATCGTTCCACTCGTTCATCGTGACGTAATGATACGACTTGTAACCCCAATCTTTCACCAGCTGTTTGCTGGCTTCCACGAGAGGCATGTTGTGAACGATGGGAATGCCCAAACCGTGGTTCAGACCTGGCAAACGCCAATCCGTGTTCGGATGGAGTTCAAATTCGCTGCAAATCCGTTCGTAAGCTCGTCAATCGTACGGATTGTTTACTGCATTCCACGCCACGTCCTGTGGAATCGGGGCGCTGATGTCTTTGAGGATGCGCCTGATCTGGTAGTACACGTGAAACGAGAACACGGACTGGCTTAGCGGACCACGGCAAGTGTCGTTCAAGGTCACACCACACCCCGTCGTTGCGCACCACATGGCAAAAATGAATTGATTCTGCCAGAATTGCATCCGGTTGTTAAACCAAGCTTGTACTGCCTTGACATTCGTGACCGAAAGCGTATATTGTTATAATACATCGATAAATCGAGCTCGAAAGTGTGAACCATCTGCATCTACCACGATCTTCATCTGTGTGAGAACGGCAGCGTTTACGATATCGCTTTTAGGATCAAACAAAATTATTTTGAAATTTTATAGATATAGAATTATATATATTTTTTTGATATTTACGTCACGCTCCCGGTATTCACGAGCGGCGAGGCCATTCAACTGCTGCACGCGATTGATAAAACTCAAAATGAACAACTCGAACGGCATGATCGTGTTAGCCAACAACAGAAAAAACAACTTGAAGGCTCAGGTTTACGTCGAACGACATACCACCGAAAACCACCATGATTGGCACAAAATTACCCGATCTCGTTTCGTATCGTGAACTGTGCATTCATCCCAATCAGCTGAGCACGACTGATAATATTCTAGGTGAATGACCTTCAACGCTGCTGAGAGCCGTACCGGTGAAAACAGAAAAGTACAACGACGGCAGAACCGAATCGTTTTCGGGCTTTGCAGTACAAGAAATTAACAGGAGGCAACATCACAGAATTAAAAATATCGGTTTTAGATTTAAAAAATATGCCTGTAGATATACGACACCTCGGCGTCACGCTGCATGTAAAGCAACGACTCAAACTTCTGGTCCCAGAACAGCCATGCGACTGATTAAATGCGTCAATATAGCGATCTCCGACCTCGGGGACACACGCGGATTCGACGAGCACGGAGTCGAGGGCAAACTGTACGCCTTGCAACTGAAAAACAACATTTACAAATACATCAAAGTGCCCTCCAGTAACGGTGGTAGCAGCGCCCTTGGTGATGTCATCGATACTGAAGGAGCGGTCAGCAACACGAGGTACGACCTCGGCTTCGTCCAACGATATCCACAGCCTTCGGCGGCAAGCTGTTCGACCTGGATGACGGCGAGACCACGGTTGTGGCCCGAAACACGCAGTACACTCTCGTCTTTACCGACAACAACAAATGGGTGCTCGTGCCATCTCAAATCGAGTGGAATCTCAACATCACGCTCGGTTCTCCCTACGTTTTCATAGACAACAGAGACCACTACCTGACGAAAGTCGTGAATAACAGAACGCTTACGCCCCGACGCAAAGACGCAGCGTGATCGTCAGCGCACTGTTGGGTAAAATAGCCCACATGCTATCGAGTAAACCCGGGACGCAAAACGTGGGTTTGCAGATGGTGTCGGAAATCGACAGCGTGGTCGACATCCTGGAAAATCTGCCGGCGAATGCCAGGCTGGTCATCCAAGTCAAGTCAAAAAAAAAGTTTATTGTATTTAAGGCCTCCGGCCCACATACAAATATACATTTGCAAATAATATACAGAATACCATATATAATAGTGGAGAGAACAAGATGACAATCTATTGTGAAATTTCGTTCTTGCCTTTTAAACTGTTTAACAGTACATTTCTTAGTCTCATACTATGTTTGATAAATAATGACAGATTAAGAATAACATTATCATTTTGAGAAGACATCAAGGATGAGAAAGCTAGAGCAGGAGATTTTTGACAAAAACGGGTGTGGAATATATTTGCTTCTGAGAATGGAGTAGGATGGACAGACTAGCATAAAGTGGATTTCATTCTCAACTGCGGATTCACATAGCGGACAAATTCTCCTGTTCTTATCTATGGACATTTTCCTGCCTTCATTTATCATTAAATCTAACAAACCAAGTCTAACTTTGATAAAAATATTTCTTAAATCTTTCGAATATAAAACAGACAAATATTTTTCAGGCTGGAGTAAACTTTTAAATGTCCTGTAGCAGTCATACCTTGAGCTGTCGTGAAGGGTAGAATGCCAATTCTGATAGAACATATCAATGGCTTGGTGTTTAAAATTATATAAAAAGAGACTGACATTCCCAATAGTTTGGTTCATCCAAATAAAACCAAAACCATGAGAGAACAAAATGTTTCTTACGTGGGGATGCCCATGTAATTTTTACCGATATTGTCTAAATGTAAAAGCATATTATAAGCCAGCTTTGGAATTCTATTTTCATGCATACCAATAAGTTTTATCCAATATTTCAAGCATCTATTCTGAGAATTGATATATATTGGGTGTCTTCCACATTCGGCGTAAATCATACAGTTTGGTGTAGATAATCCAACGGATAAATATCTTTTGCATGCTAAAAGGTGAAGTTTTTCTAAACAATCGTATCTTTGATAACCCCAAATATCAGATCCATATAACATTATTGGTTGTATCTGCGAATCAAAGAGTTTAAAAAATATATTAGGTGAGGTAATTCCAATTTTATATGAAACAGACATAACGTTGAATAGGGCTTTCTTTGCTCTTGATACTAAATCTTCTATGCTTTTAGAAAAGTTCATTGTATGGGTAAACAGAAGACCAAGATATTTATAATGACTATTAATCGTAAGGTGTATCCCGTTTAGTACCCACGTTTCATTTACGGATAACGAACCACCCCTTCTGAAAATGACAATATTTGTTTTGTCGTAATTAACCGATAACTTCCATTCTTTTGTGTAACGTCCCAAGATATTAAGTTGATTTTGTAGTCCTACAATAGTGTCTGAAACTAAAATGACATCATCAGCAGTCTACCTCGGTGAACCACCATCAGCACACGAATGCTTATACCAGTCAGCAGGGAGTCATCGTGACCGTGGAAGACATGATATGGCTCACTAAAGTTTCCTGCCGGAAAACATACATCTCATGGGTTTGAAGTGCACGTCCAAGATATTATCCGAAAACCAATTGGAAACTATTTCGTAACATAGATGTATACAATGAACCATCAACCCAACGTCACGCTCAACGATTTCGGGGACACAGATCTGCTCGGCGAGGACAACGCCTTGTACGTCCTGCACTTACAAAACAACGTGTATAAACGACGAGAAGTGATCATCAAATCTCAATTGAACTTGATCATCAATATTGTCCTAACCTACCCCTATCTTATCATGGATGAGGATCGTAATGCCATCGAACTAACAACCAAGGGGGTTCTACTGGATAGTTTTATTCCGGTTCAAGAAAAGGGAATGTACGTATCAACATTACCAGATCAAATGTGTAATATGATAGTCACCAGTCCGGAACCCAAAGAGAAATGGATATATTTACAAAAATATAATGAAGGTCCACACTGGTGGGTCACTGTGATACAAGGTTCTACCCTTATTATTGAAGTTTTGCTTGGGGATTCCCCAACAGAAGATGTGGCAAATCTGGTTGGGTTAAGCATACGCTGGTATGATCGCCATAAAAATAAACGTTGTCGTATTTATATACAACCAGGAACAGCTCCCAACCACAAGCCTCGATGGGATCAAGGTTATTCAGGAGCCTAACATTCAATCCCATGCCATTGGTTTATTAGAGCATATCTACTTCATCAGCTTATAATATTCATCAAAGATTGACAGAAAACCAATTAAATATTAATTTCTAAACTTATATTATAGATTTTGTCAAGATGGGATTGTATTCGGTCTTAGACGAAGTGGCCCAAACGCGAAAAAGAACGCGACATGCGGATCAGAGTACACAAAAAGTACCACAGGGCAACGAATGCCATTGATGAGATAGACACCGCGCTCGTAACAGCTAGCATGGGACTCGGTGCTGCTGGTGTTGGCTTATTATTAACCATCGTGGCCGCACCTGTGGTGCTAGGCATTGAAATAACAGCTGGAGTGACAGGGTTGGTGGGATTGACTCTTAAGTTGATATCTCGCAGCAACGTAAAGCATTGAAACATGACGAAATTAGAATTCTAGCTGAATCAAAATTGAATACGATCGAGGATCATATCTCGACAGCGATCTCCGATAGCAAAATCTCTGAGGAAGAGTTTCGTCTAGTGAGTGAGTGAGTTAAGATTTTAAGTCACATCGGCAATATTTCAGCCATATCGTGACTAAAGCAAGTTATAAATATATCGACAATTTAAGTGAAATTATAAAATTCTGCCGACGAAGGACAGTAAAATAACTAGAGTATCACAGATATATATATGTAAAACTAGTAATTGAATCTAAAACATTTTAACCATAGGGGACAACACAATCTAAAAATGGGCTATAGATCGCTAACAACTGAAGGTAGATCACCATACTAGGGACCATGGAGTTTCGTCTAGTGATGTCGGAAATCGCTTAATATACTCATGCCAGTATAGTTGTCACGATCCTCCCCACCCCAACCCCACACACACCTCACACCCCCACCCCACACCCCCTCTCCAATTAAAAAATTGAAGGGGGTGACAACCATTATTGGCATGAGTATATCACCGAATGAAACAGGCGATTGGAGACAAGACTCGGAAAACCGCTAACATCAGCGAAGACGAGAAAACAAAAGTTGATAGAACAAAGCAAACAACAAATGATAACCCTCCTTACCAAGAACAAAGATCTCATAACAGGTTAACGTTGGACTGTTTTGTAGATATGAGCATCACATAGCCTAGTAGAAAAAAAATAAATAAATAAAAAATCGGGAAATTCATCCCCCACTGGCAGCAGATACAATACTGGTTGAAAAATGGATTTGTGGTTGCTGAAAAAATGGGTTGCCATAGCGAAAATGAGATTCTTATAAATATTTGACAAAAATATTCAACATCTAACTCCCGGTCTAAACGCTGTGGCGCTTTATCAGGCGTTGCTAGGTTGGGCGGCCACTTAGCAACGGGGTTCTTGGTAGGAGCGCCGTTGCCAGGCTCATCCGCCATCTGGTTTGCCTAGCAACGGGGTTCTTGGTAAGAGCGTCGTTGCCAAGCAAGATGATCTTTAATAATGGCAACAAGTTGGAAATGTCACAATTCAAACGGCGTCTATAAAGCTTTAGCCAGTGTTTCCGATGCTACTATGATTTGTCAGGTGTTCAGGGATTGGCTATAAGGCAATGTGGGGCGGTGGTGTAGCCCAGTGGTTCAAGCGTTTGCACGTCAGGCTGATGATCCGGGTTTGATTCCCCACATGGGTACACAGCAAAAATAACTTAGTTTCCGTTTTTGCGGAAACCTAACGGATACTGGGTAATGTAGGTTTCCGCTAGGTTTCAGTATCCGGAAACAGACAATGCGAGTTTCCGCATAGTTTACAAAACTGAAACTAACAAATCTAGGTTTCCGTCAAGTTTCTACAACTGAAACTATCATTATGCGTTTCCATTTAGTTTCAGTTCGCTGAAACATTCAAAGAGAAATGACTTTGTTTCCGCTATTGCGGAAACCTATTGGATACTGGGTAATGTAGGTTTCCGCTAGGTTTCTGTTGGTTTCAGCTTAGATGAAACGGCAAACTTATAATTAGCTTTGTGCTGTTCCATTGGGGGACTATATTTACTTACTGTTACATTTGCAAGATAATTTCTGTTTACAGAATCCAGCTAGGGTCAATGCAGGAAGCAAAAGTACTGTTCGTGCCGTAGTCCCTAGTATGTTGATCAACCTTCAGGTGTTGGCAATCTATAGCTCATTTTTATACTGAACCGGTAAAGTGTTTATGGTTACATGCCAGTTTTTAGTGTACATTTGTGATAGATTAGTTATTTTACTGTCCTTCGAAGACAGGTAAGTATATAAGTTTGTTTTTATTTCATGTACACATTTACAAATTTAGAGTTACGACTTTCATAGTCACGATATGGCTACCGATTAACTATGCAACTCACTCACTACCATTTTGCATAACTTGTGAATGTACCATTTATTACATTGTACGCGAAAAACAACAAACACAGTGACACATGCACTGTTATGATTCATCTGTTTCATTATTGTGAATAGCTCACATTTCAACAGTACTCAACAATGTGTATGTATGTATGTGTGTGTGTGTGTGTGTGTGTGTGTGTGTGTGTGTGTGTGTGTGTGTGTGTGTGTGTGTGTGTGTGTGTGTGTGTGTGTGTGTGTGTGTGTGTGTGTGTGTGTGTGTGTGTGTGTGTGTGTGTGTGTGTGTGTGTGTGTGTGTATGTATGTATGTATGTATGTATGTATGTATGTATGTATGTATGTATGCATGCCCATATCAAAAGGGAATTTTCAGCATTGGAGAAAACAAATTCTGTATGAATATGCAAATACAAATATGTCAAAACCCTACAACATTTTATGCATATGATGAAATGAGGTCTACTAGTGCAGGCATAACATATTTGCTGTGGTATTTATAAAACAGTGAGTGAGTGAGTGAGTTAAGATTTAAAGTCACATCGGCAATATTTCAGCCATATCGTGACTAAAGCAAGTTATAAATATATCAACAATTTAAGTGAAATTATAAAATTCTGCCAACGAAGGACAGTAAAATAACTAGATAATCACAGATATATATGTAAAACTAGCAATTGAATCTAAAACATTTTAACTATAGGGGACAACACAATATAAAAATGGGCTATAGATCGCCACCAACTGAAGGTAGATCACCATGCTAGGAGCCATGGGGACTTACATTACTTTTGCTACCTGCATGGATCCTAGCTGGATTTACACCATCCCTTCAGCCGCTAGCGATTATAGGAAAATTTAGCCAACAATTAAAATTACAAAAATACTACGTTTAAAATGTGATAATTTATATTTTACTTTGAAAGTTTTGGGACTTACGTACCCTCTCAGGAGGACAATAATTTTACGCTACGTCAACCCCCCTTTGAGGGTACAGCCACTAACAATCTCAGTGACTAATTTAAATTACCAATAATAAAATATTTATCTATTTACAAATCAGTTAATAAATCTAATTCTTTTAAAAATTCAACTATTAAATGATAATTAGCATTATTAAAAAGATCCTTCAATGTTTTGACATTAAAATACTTATCCCTTGTGATGGAATATTCAACACAGTCAAGCAGGACATGCTTGACCGTGATTCTTTCATCACAAGGGATACAAAACGGAGGATCCTCACCTTTCAATAGGTACTCATGAGTATATCGTGTGTGGCCAATACGACATCGTCGCATAATGACCTCTTCAAATCTGGACTGACAACCCAAGTAGGTGTAACCAATATAGGGTTTTATTGCATGTAATTTATTTATACCTACTTGGGTGTCCCACTTCTTCTGCATCAGATCACGGATGTATGTTCTAATGCTTGCTTTGTAATCAGAGTAAGGAATAAGAAGTGGTGTCACAGATTTGTTGAGTGCTGCCTTTTGCAGCAAGATCGGCCATTGTATTCCCAGAAATACCAACGTGGCTGGGTAACCAACAAAGACGATGTCGCATTGGCCAGTTGCAAGATCATTATATAATTCTATAATTTCTATTAAAAGTGGATGTTTACAAGAAATATTTTTAATCGCCTGAAGGCAAGACAGAGAGTCAGAAAAGATTATGTATTGTTTATATTTAGTGTGTCTATTTATATATTTGAGAGCTGTTAGGATTGCGTTTGCTTCAGCTGTGAAAATTGAACTGTCATTGGGTAATCTGGAAGATATTGTTCTGGACCCAATGACAGTGGCACAAGCAACCGCACCACCATCCTTGGACCCATCTGTAAATAAGGATTTATATGTATTATATTTACTTTTTAATTGATGATATTCTTGTTTATATTGTAAGTCATTAGTTTCTGATTTTTTAAATTTAGTGAGTGTTAGGTCGACTTGTGGCCTAACCAATTGCCAAGGAGGAGAAGAAAGAAGACGGGAAGGAGATATATTCTCCAACTCAATGCCAGCAGCAGAAATATATTGTTGGATTCTTATCCCAAGAGGTGGGACAAGAGAAGGTTTTTTATTATACAAATCCTCATAAAGAGGATTAAAAACGCAAGTGTGAGCAGGATTGGATTCATTAGAATATAACTTTGTGATATATTGTAGGGACAATTTGATACGGCGAAGTTTTAAAGATGGCTCATCAGCCTCAACGTAGAGACTGTCAATGGGAGAGGTTCTGAAAGACCCAAGACAAAGTCTTAGACCCTGGTGATGGATAGAATCAAGTAGTTTGAGGTTGCTTTTACAGGCCCCACCATATACGATAGAGCCGTAATCAAGCTTCGAGCGGACAAGTGATCTGTAAAGGTGTAGGAGCGTAGCTTGATCCCCCTCCCCACCTTGAATTAGACACGACTTTCAATAAATCGAGTGCCTTCAGGCATTTAGTTTTCAGGGATTTGATATGCGGAAGAAAAGTTAAATGGGAGTCGAAAATGAGACCTAAGAACTTGGCCTCTTTTACAACTTTGATGGGAGTGCCACCTAGAAACAGTTCTGGGTCTGTATGGGGTTTATATTTACGGCAGAAATGTATGCAATTAGTTTTTGATTTAGAAAATTTAAAGCCGTTTTCAAGACACCATTTATGTATTTTATTTAAACACAACTGTAGTTGCCGTTCAATGGTATGCATATTCTTACCGCGACAAGAAATGTTAAAATCATCCACAAAAAGTGATCCATCAATTGAATCATTTAAAACCTTGGATAGACTGTTGATCTTAATGCTAAATAAAGTGACAGACAAAATACTGCCTTGCGGGACACCCTGATCCTGATTGTAATGATCAGACAGGGTTGAACCCACTCGGACTTGAAATTGCCTGTCATTTAAAAACTGTGATATAAAAAGAGGTAAACGACCCCCTTAAACCAAAATCATGTAAATCCTTTAAAATGCCATGCTTCCAGGTGGTATCGTACGCTTTCTCGAGATCAAAGAATATCGATACTGCATGTTGTTTATTGACTATAGCATTTTTGATAAAGGATTCTAATCGTACCAAATGATCAATGGTACTACGATTTTTTCTGAAACCACATTGGATATTTGATATCAGGTTATTGGTTTCAAGATACCAAGTTAGTCTATTGTTCACCATTCTTTCCATGGTTTTACAGACACAACTCGTTAAAGAGATTGGTCTATAATTAGAAGGATCAGTATGATCCCGGCCAGGTTTTGGAATAGGCACTACAATTGCATTACGCCAGAAAGTTGGGAAATTCCCCCGAAGTCCATATTGAATCAAAAATATTTAGAAGTGTTTCCAAACATGATTCCGGTAAATGTTTCAAGAGCTGATAGTGTATGTTATCAGCTCCTGTTGCTGTATCATGAGCTTGCTCAAGGGCAGTGTGGAGCTCATGTAATGAAAATAATTCGTTGTAGTCTTCGCCATTGTCTGAGTTAAAATTTATTCTCTTCTTTTCCTGTTGTTTCTGATAATGTTGAAATTCTGGGACATAATTGGACGAAGAAGAATGTTTGGCGAGAGTTTCACCAAGCTTATTGGCAATGTGAGACTTATTAGTTAATAAACTGTCACCATCCTTCAGATGGCGAACAGTAGATTTGGAACCTTTGCCCTTAATTCTTTGGATCATGTTCCACACCTTTGAAATTGGGGTGCGTGAATTTATCTTGGAAACGTAGTTTCTCCAAGACTGACGCTTATTCTGTTTAAATGCGCGTCGAGCCTTAGCATTTAAAATTTTTACTTTGTCCAAATTATGGACCGTAGGATGTTTGCGAAAAAACTTTTCGGCTTTCTTCCTACTCTTTCTGGCCTGTTTACAATCATTATTGAACCATGGCTTGCGAATGTGAGGATTTGCAGAGGACTTAGGTATTGTTTGATCAGCTATGGCAGTGAGCTGATCTGTAAATAGCTTAATTTGATCATCGGTATTTTGAAAACGTTCAGGTGTTAGGTTTGAAGTACACAATATCTCAAACAGTTGCCAATTTGCTTTTTTTAAAATTCCACCTAGATGATGAAGAATCAGCAATTGGGTTGCTGGTTTTCAGAATGGTGGGAAAGTGATCGCTGCCACAGAGGTCATCATGGACCGACCATTCAAATTCATTTAATATGTTGGCATCCGTAAGAGAAAGGTCAAGGGCTGAATACATTCCAGTAGCAGGATGTAAATAAGTGTTAGAGGCATCGTTATATATGCATAAATTATTGTCGTTAATGAATTCCTCAAGTATCTTCCCTTTACTATTTGTATTTACGCTTCCCCATATAGGATTGTGACCATTCAGGTCCCCCCATGATAATGCATGGCTTAGGGAGCTGATCGTAAAGTTGTTGAAGATCAGATTGTCGCAGTGACGTAGAGGGAGGATATACAATGAGCACAGAGTAAATACAATGTGCATAGTTAGCCGGACAGCAACAGCTTGAAGATTTGTATTAAGAGGAACGGGGCTGTTAATGACTCCCTGCCGTATAAAAATAGAAGCCCCTCCAGAAGCCCTATCTCCTGGTGGAGAAAAAAGAAATGATGACAATTGTATTGTCGTAACTCAAATGTGTCAGTAGGTTTGAGATACGTCTCTTGGAGACACAGTGCCGACGGTTTATAATCTTGAATCAACAGCTGTACTTCATTTAAATTCTTTCTAAGTCCTCTGCAATTCCACTGGATTAGATTTAAAGATTGAGTCATGGAGGCTCAACTGGGGACCTAGTCCGTGAACGTGAGGAAGAAATGTTTCTTCCTCTCTCCTGAGATGGAGTCACCTCCATATCCAAAGGAGCAAATGCGTTTTCAATGGTTATGTCCGTAGAAGGGAGATTCCCAACTTTCAACTGTTTGTTTTGCCTTTTTTTTTCTTTCCTGGTTTTTTGAATGTCTGATTTTTCAACATTATGCTCGGTTTGAATCACAATCTGATTAGTTTGTGTTTCTGAAGATACATTTTTTGGTGGAGTGTTTGTACTAAGACTGAGAGGCTGATCTGAAATTACCCACGTTAACTCAGTCTGACACATGATAGATGAGGTTGGTACAGACCGGGTAACCACAGCAGAGTAGGACAAACTGGTAGGATTTTGTGTCTGGCTTGCGTACAGTTTCTTGGCTTCAAAAAAAGAAATGTTATTTTTGTATTTGATTTTCACTATTTCAGACTGTTTTTGCCACTCAGGACATGACTTTGAAGAGGCAACATGACCGCCTCCACAGTTTGCGCATTTCATGTCTTTTTGACAATCTGAAACATCATGGTGTTCACCACACCGATGACACACAATATGACTGTGACAAGATTTTGAGCCATGGCCAAATTTCTGACAGGTGTAGCATCGGAGTGGAGTGGGGATATACACCTCCACTCCTAGATTCAAATAACCAGCCTTAATGGATCGTGGAACTGATGCACAGGCAAAAGTCACAAGATATGTGTTTGTGTTTTTAACAGTGCCATCAATTTTTTTTGTGAAACGTTTAATGGATGTGACCCCTGATCTTCTAGTTCAGATTGAATTTCTTGTTCAGACATGTCGGACAGGCATCGATCTCTGTCTCGAATAATGCCCCGACATGAGTTAAGCGTTCTATGAGGGGATACTACTACCTCAATATTGGCAAACTGGTGACCGAAAGAAGATTGAGAGATTGTTGCTTTCTCTCACATTCCACTAGAAGTGAACCATTTCGAAGACGAGTTACATTTTTCACATCTCCGCAAATTCCAGAAACACCTTTGGACACAGCAAATGGATTTAATTTGATAGGTTCATGATCAGAAGCCTCAATCACCAAGAACCGAGACCAGGATTCTACATTTTTTGAAATAGTTTCGTTGGAACCATCACGTTCCAAACGTCTCTTTTTTTCATTTCGAGCGGAACCAGGGTAGTTTTGTGACATGGTGATGGATATAAGTTCAACATCCCTGCTCCCCACCCGCCACCGAGTGTCAACAAGGACAGTGTTACATTGCACCGGACATCCAGGATGCAAACACCGAGGATACAGGGATGTTATACTCCAGCAAGTATGACATGAAAAGCTGAATTGGTTTACCAAATTAAATGTCTGGCTGGTTCGGCCCATAACAAGTAACCAGAAACCTACAGATTTCGGAGGTCAACGTCACCAGATTGGCCCATGAGCCACCGCCTTCTGGCATGGTACTCTAGGCAAATAAATATAAGTACAGTTCAAATAATAACATTCATATTCATAAATGCAAAACAATGCACAACATTCAACATGAATAGTTTCCATGCACAGGGCATGGCATGACCAGCCGATTGATAGAACCGGGCCAGTTCTACCACCCGTCTAGGTGAAGTCAGGGCCGAAGTGGTGTGTTGGGCAAAGGAACACTGTTCCTGGAACCAGTGCCCTCAACCACCAGACTACCTTCCTCCACCGACACAGGGGCGCAACCCACGGCAAACGGGTTGGTGGACCAAAATATCCCCCCCCCGGGTCCACAACGGGGGGGTTGAAAGGCGCTTAGCGTGACCCAGCACCCACCACGAGGAGGTGGCCTTTCATGGGTGCCTATTTATAAAACAGATTTCAAATTCAAATTCAAATGTTTATTGTATGAAAGGTCATGGGCCCATATACATATACATGAAGTGTACATTTGAAGCTGTCTCAATGTATCTTAACATATACACACTAACAATCTCACATAGTAAAGACTTGGCAACTTGCTTACAACCATGAAGCTTCTGTTGCACTCACACTGAGCAGCCAACAATCCTCTGATGTGGTACATATGACGCAGAGCCTTGAGTTGAGCCTGAGTTTTGCCACACAGAGAAAGGGGAAATATAACCAAGTTGATTACAACAAGGCTTGAACCAGTCCATAACCGCAAACAGATGGTGTATGCTCTACTTAAGATTTGTGGGTGAATATGAAGAGTCCTGGTTGATGTCTGGCACAACATCGTTGCCATCCTTATCATCCCACACAGACTCTTCATCATCCTGCAAATACAATACATACAATGCTTAGTAAAACTGCAAAAACAGCCAAAGTAACACATTTATACATATTCATAAACATGCACAGTGGTACATCTGATCACAATGAAATTATATAATTAGAACGACTAATTTGTATATGTAACCAAAATATATTTTTCACAATCACAAAGGAAAGATATGTAGTATACATGTATATTGTATCTTCAATTTGACATGTCACTTATTTTATTGATCGGTACCAGAAAATAGTAGCCAACCCAGTATTCTGAAGCAAATTGTTGTAATATTTATTACTGTTACTGTACTCATATTCAAGGTAACATCTACTACCAAATCGCCAATTGAAATGGAAGCATAGGTAAAACGGTACATACATATTTTAAATAGATACGAATTATGTTTAAACACTGAATGTAACACCTAATTATATATGTGATCTTATTCAAATTGAAATGACCAACTCAACTGAGAAAAGCATACAAAACCTAACATTTCCCATGAATGAAAAGTCGTGGGTATTTCTTAGTTTTATCAACCCTCTAAGAAAACATTCCCAGCAATATAGTAACATAAAATATTATTTTTATGTGACCTTTAATTTAATTTAAAAACTGTAAAATGTGTAACACAACTTATCCACTTTCAGTTACAGTTACATATCTGGTATACAATAATTACACTCTTGCTTGACAACGGTATAAGAATCCATACCGAAACGTCGCATCATATATAATAAAGAAGTTGTTATCCATAAACTCTCTTACTTTCTTATTTGTCACCAACTTCTAAATGCCAATCAAACAAATTACAATAATTAAATATATTCATTATTGATATATGATGGATAGCAATGGGACAGATCAAACTGAAGTCGTTAAATGAAACCTATGAAGTGAAGTATTTTGGACGACTAACCTGATGAGAAACTGCCGTCCATTCCAGACGATTCCTTGTTTCCTTGAAACAAACGACTGGCAGTGCGGACAGAAAACTGGGTCTTTTTTCTTGGAACTGAAAAACATATCAACATATCTTAACTTATGAAAGTGTAATCCCATATATAACATATGTTAAACTTATGGTTACACTGGAATCCACGCACTGTTACATTTTGAGTGATTATATTTTTCACAAAGATAAAGAAATTTATTCTATGTATCTATTTAGTGTTTACTTGTTTTTGACTAAATGCTGATGAATAAAAAATATTGTTTTAAGATTTCCTTTAATGAAATTAGGAGCATGGTATGGTGTAACTATAAATGATTACCAAGCCAAGCCTCTTGTCAATCTCCAACAAGTCAGTGGATCCACAATACGTATCTGTAAATCAAATAATTGAAACAATGATTCTTTTAGAAATGTTATACGTGACTTGTGTCAATGCATTGTAAGGCTAAGAGGTTTAATAATTGATTACATAAATTATTACACAAAGCTATGAGTGTAAAGTATATGTTATAATTGTTTTAATGGTAATAAAATGATAAAAAAAGATGTACTGGTATAATTGGATAAATACCGCCATATAGCTGGAATATTGCCGAGTGCGGCGTAATACTTAACTCGCTCACTTAGATATATTGAGCTGACATCACATATAATTAGATAAGTAAACTTATAATACAGGGAATGGTATACGTAGATCTAGGTGTAGAACTGAAAAGAATGAACATGATATAAGCATGTCTAATACACGTGCATGTTTTGAGCTCAATAGGTAAATTACTTACACGATGAAGTTTTACGTCCAGCAGAACGTATATTGCCTACTCCTGACAGGGTTTTGAAAAATCACCTATTTGCCACTAACACAATCTCTCATGAGTAGGACTCATGAAGCTCGATGAGGACTTTTAAAGTAACGTGAATATGTTTTCAGATTTATTCACTTCTCTAGGCCTACATGTTGATGCTTGACACTGAGGAGGAGCAATTAGTGCCCATAATGCGATGAGAAGACCCTTAAGCCCATACAAGCCCACTGTTGGGTACTCACATTCAATCTGCTCATTTCCACCTTTCACGGTCCCCTTTGATGTCGGCAATGTAAACAAATAAAACAATGGCGACCGGATCACGTCCACGCGAGACTACCTAAATCATTATAAAAAACACACAGCTGACATTTTATGTGTATAGTGTATGTTTATTTTGTTTGTATAACGCGGAAAGATATTGTCAAACTGTAATGTTAGATTTAGATTAAAAAACAACAACAAAGTGTTTTTCCCGTGAGCCTTTGCGAGTCGCGATTTTCAAAGCCGCCTCAGTTACCCTCAAAGCACTGAAAGAGAGAATTCGCTACCTGGAAAAGAAAGATGGAAATGGCAGCGAAAAACTCGCAGTACCACGACCCTGTCAGGTAAGACCAATTTGTTTTGTTGTCAAATAACGTTTTATGAATTATTTACTTTACGTACAGAAAATCCGGATTGGTAAACAAGTTAATCTATCGAATTACAGCCAGTGGCCATAGGTATTCGCCACTGTGCATTATTCGACTTACATGTTAATTTGGTGCAGCTAGAAATATGTCTTGAATTTATTTGATATCCGTTTGATATTGTTTATATTTTGCACATGGGTTCTGAATCATCTCAGCTTCAAAGACATAATTTCCGTTTTATTTTCAATTCAATGTGTGTCATGGTTATGGCAATTTTTAACATGGCGGTCTATGGGGAAAGAATACGCAATGTTGTATATATGTTGCTCATGTAACTACAATGCGGAAAATTATGTATCTGTGACCAAGATTATTTCCTAACAGCCTGCATAATTTGAGAACCAAATATGGAAAACTGAATTAATGAAAATTACATAGCTACACTAAAATAGCATGCAAGTCTATGAGAATTTTGCCGACTGACGTATATTTAAGTCCCCTGACTGTATAAACAGTTTTGCACGAACTATTTTCAAAGGTTGGTGAAGTAAAATAAGTGTCTATCTAAAAATATACTACAATTTTGAAAAATATAGCAAATAGATTGTATATTAATTGATTTGTTTTATTCATTTAGGCTGTTGTGAGGAAACGTGTCACGACCACTCCTGGAAGAAAAGATCACCCTCTCTAACTGAAGGTATGTGTTTATGGTACTATGAAACATAGATGTAATTTCACTTTGAATATTTTATTATTATGCTTCCCTAGATACATTTTCACAAAATGAACCATACTCAAGTTACATTTGCAAATGGATTTGAATAACCGGTAACTTAATCATGATTTCAAATTGGACCAAATAAACTTCACACCTGTGTGAAATGGCAGTAAAACTGACCCCTTGATTTTACAATGCCGTAATTACTCCAAGATTATGTCACAGGTGATAACTGAACTTCATTCATCAGGATGTTTATGTCAGGCCGTTCACTTACTCATTGCATAACCTTAAAGTGATAAATCTGTAGTTTGCTTGTTGGTATAAATGTCGCTGCAATTGTTTGGGGGTTTGTTAAACCTCAAATGAATGAATGGAGAAATGCAAAGAAAAGTAACGTGTTATTGTTTATTTTTTTTCAGCTGATGATGAGTCTGCAGACTGTATAACGAATGACCAAGGATGGTCAGCTGAAACATGTGTGAAGGTAATTTTGACCTATCTGTAGTGACTTTCATTATAAGTAGTAAATAATTTCCAATTAATAGAGTAGAGACAAGGTTTATGGATGTCAACTCCTTTATTATGTGAAAACATGTTTCAGAGTGAATGCTTACCCCTTCGTCAGGTGTAAGCATTCACTCCGAAACACTGTGTTTTCACATAATAAAGACCTTGACATCCGGAAACATTCGTGTCTTGTATTATTCACTTCTAAATACACCTCAAAGACGTAATGGTGTAAACATACAGTCACTACTGGGTGAATATACTTGTGCCTTCAACAATACAACTGCCTGACTGAGTTTGGTTTTACGCCGCTTTTAGCAATATTCCAGCAACATCACGGCGGTGGACACCACAACGTTGATGAAAATCTATTACTAGTACCATTATTACTACATAGAAAATGCAATAAATGTTCAGATATTATATATAACATATTACTACCTCTGGTCTGGGAACCATGTAACTCCAGAGCAAAGTTTGTATAGATTCTGTGTCCTCTTTAGAAAATAAGATATTACATTCGGTCAATGAAGTGTGATGAATTGCATAATTTGAGTTTTGAGAAAACTAGTGCAAAGTGTGATTGTTCAATTTAGTTCTCTTTTATTCAAACTTACTTGTGGATTACTCATTTTAAATCATCCTTGGCATTGTCAGTTTCTTGTTGATTGATGTTTGTGTAATTCATCAAAATAACCTAGTAATTCGTTATAACCTGCCATTTTCAGAAACTTGTACAACGCCTAAACAGACTTGCATCTATTGATTGGCCAGATAGACGATAGAAAAAGGTAGCGACAACACTCACCATAGACATGACATCACCAGTCGTGAGTGACGAAGATGACGTCAATTAGTTGCATTCCGTCCCCTTTGTCTGTGAGTCCAGCAAGCTTATGGCATACACGACGACACTGGACTTGGAAAGAATCTACACCTCCACTGCTCTCGTCAAGGCCAACAGGAGGACGAGGATGAGGCATCCAACCAAAGTAACAGAGGGATCTCCGCCTAGGGATGCCCCTTACAGGGCCCACTGACCAGCTCTTGCAATTTAATTGAATTTATTTTCAATTTCATAATGTAATTTTTTTTATTTTTGTATTGTAAGCTGTATGTTGTGTTATTGTATATCATAGTGGATGTCTGGCGATAGTTGTGACATAGAGTGTGTGTGCTGAATGCCAAGGCGTGCAAATAAATGTCCGATGCAGCTATGTTTTATTACTGTGTTAAGTTGTATGTTATTGTTATTTTTCATCATTAGCATGATTTTAGAAATAAATTTCGTATCTAACATGCTATTTCAAGATAATAAGTGAATGAAAGTTTAACTGATGAAAAATTACAACTTTGTTATAAATGATATATGATTTCTAAAACTGGATTGAGTTATGCCAATATGTTTTGCCCTGTTCTTTAGTGCTATATTACTAGTTATATGTATGATCTTTATTTGCCTTAAATGCTAATCCATACCATGTTGAGAAAATAAAACAATGAATCTTATTATATATTCTGTTTTTCTTTAGTAAATGTCATGATAATAACAAATTGCTTATATTGTTTTTAACAAGAGTTTATGATATAAATAAAGAAGAATGTTTACATTTAGCTCTTTGAAACGCATATGAAAACCTGTGAACCTGAAATTGAAACCGGTAACTGAAACTATGTGGAAACCTTGTCGGATTGTTGGTAACTGAAACTATGCGGAAACTATGTCGGATTGTTGGGAACTGAAACTATGCGGAAACTATATCGGATTGTTGGTAACTGAAACTATGCGGAAACCTCTTGAGTCTTAATAACTGAAACCTTGCGGAAACCTGAAGGATTCAAAGTTAACTGAAACTCAACGGAAACTTCTTGGAGTGTGGGTAACGGATACCTTGCGGAAACCTGTTGGAGTGTGGGTAACGGAAACCTTGCGGAAACCCTTAGAAAGTGGGTAATTGTAAGTTTCCGTTATTGCGGAAACTCAATGTTAAAGAACGGAAACTCACTGGATTCTAGGTGGAAACTTAAGTTTCAGTCCACTTTCTACCAGGTTTCCGCATTGCGGAAACCGAGTTATTTTTGCTGTGTTGAAATAGAATATGTATCGTTATGAAATAACTGGACTGAACATACACAGCCAGGAAGGGAAACCCACCACTGACACTTACTACGTGACAATGGCCACTAAAGCAAGTAGAGTTATGTCTCTTTAACCGCCCAAACAATGCTAAGAAAGAACAAGACCTGTTCTATGTTCCTAGCCCCATATCAGCAGTCAGTAAATTTAAACATGACGAAGTCGGATGTAGCTAGTGGACTACACGATGAAGTTGAATGTGGCTAGTTAGCTACATGATGAAGTTGAATGTAGCCAGTTAACTACATGATGAAGTTGATTGTAGCCAGATAACTACATGATGAAGTTGAATGTAGGTAGTTTACATCATGATGAAGTTGAATGTAGCGGATTAACTACATGATGAAGTTGAATGTAGCTAGTTAACTACATAATCAAGTTGAATGTAGCCAGTTTACATGCTGATGAAGTTGAATGTAGCTGGTTAACTACATGATGAAGTTGATGTAGCTAGTTAACTACATAATCAAGTTGAACGTAGCCAGTTTACATCATGATGAAGTTGAATGTAGCTAGTTAACTACATAATCAAGTTGAATGTAGTCAGTTTACATCAAGATGAAGTTGAATGTAGCCAGTTAACTACATGATGAAGTTAAATGTAACCAGTTAACTACATGATGAAGTTGAATGTAGCCAGTTAACTACATGATGAAGTTGAATGTAGCCAGTTAACTACACGATGAAGTTGAATGTAGCTGGTTAACTACATGATGAAGTTGAATGTAGTCAGTTAACTACACGATGAAGTTGAATGTAGTCAGTTAACTACATGATGAAGTTAAATGTAACCAGTTGACTACATGATGAAGTTGAATGTAGCCAGTTAACTACATGATGAAGTTGAATGTAGCCAGTTAACTACACGACGAAGTTGAATGTAGCCAGTTAACTACATGATCAAGTTGAATGTAGTCAGTTAACTACACGATGAAGTTGAATGTAGTCAGTTAACTACATGATGAAGTTGAATGTAGCCAGTTAACTACATGATCAAGTTGAATGTAGCCAGTTAACTACATGATCAAGTTGAATGTAGCCAGTTAACTACACGATCAAGTTGAATGTAGCCAGTTAACTACACGATGAAGTTGAATGTAGCCAGTTAACTACATAATCAAGTTGAATGTAGCCAGTTAACAACTCGATCAAGTTGAATGTAGCCAGTTAACTACATGATGAAGTTGAATGTAGCCAGTTAAATACATGATGAAGTTGAATGTAGCCAGTTAACTACATGACCAAGTTGAAAGAAGCTACTTTAATTTGTGTCCTTAGTTGAATCGAGCATATTGCAATTGCCTCCATGATGAAGTCAGATGAAGCTAGAAGAGTACGACTGACAGTAAATCAGTTTTGACGGTATTCAACTATTATAAAATAGGACGTAGGTGACACTATTATATAATAGGACGTAGGTGACACTATCATATAATAGGACGTAGGTGACACTATTATAAAATAGGACGTAGGTGACACTATTATATAAAAGGACGTAGGTGACACTATCATATAATAGGACGTAGGTGACATTATTATATAATAGGACGTAGGTGACACTATTATATAATAGGACGTAGGTGACACTATCATAAAATAGGAAGTAGGTGACACTATTATAAAATAGGACGTAGGTGACACTATTATATAATAGGACGTAGGTGACACTATCATATAATAGGACGTAGGTGACACTATTATATAATAGGACGTAGGTGACACTATTATAAAATAGGACGTAGGTGACACTATCATATAATAGGACGTAGGTGACACTATTATAAAATAGCACGTAGGTGACACTATTATATAATAGGACGTAGGTGACACTATCATAAAATAGGACGTAGGTGACACTATTATAAAATAAGACGTAGGTGACACTATAATAAAATAGGACGTAGGTGACACTATTATAAAATAGGACGTAGGTGACACTATCATGTAATAGGACGTAGGTGACACTATCATAAAATAGGACGTAGGTGACACTATTATAAAATAGGACGTAGGTGACACTATTATATAATAGCACGTAGGTGACACTATTATATAATAGGACGTAGGTGACACTATTATATAATAGGACGTAGGTGACACTATCATAAAATAGGACGTAGGTGACACTATTATAAAATAGGACGTAGGTGACACTATTCTATAAAAGGACGTAGGTGACACTATCATAAAATAGGACGTAGGTGACACTATTATATAATAGGACGTAGGTGACACTATTATATAATAGGACGTAGGTGACACTATCATAAAATAGGACGTAGGCGACACTATTATAAAATAGGACGTAGGTGACACTATCATAAAATAGGACGTAGGTGACACTATTATAAAATAGGACGTAGGTGACACTATCATATAATAGGACGTAGGTGACACTATTATATAATAGGACGTAGGTGACACTATTATAAAATAGGACGTAGGTGACACTATCATATAAAAGGACGTAGGTGACACTATTATAAAATAGGACGTAGGTGACACTATTATATAATAGGACGTAGGTGACACTATTATAAAATAGGACGTAGGTGACACTATTATATAATAGGACGTAGGTGACACTATTATATAATAGGACGTAGGTGACACTATTATAAAATAGGACGTAGGTGACACTATCATATAAAAGGACGTAGGTGACACTATTATAAAATAGGACGTAGGTGACACTATTATATAATAGGACGTAGGTGACACTATTATAAAATAGGACGTAGGTGACACTATTATATAATAGGACGTAGGTGACACTATTATATAATAGGACGTAGGTGACACTATCATAAAATAGGACGTAGGTGACAGGGAAACTGTAATACATAAATTGTCTAATTAATACTGTTCATGTAACAACCCTTCGGATGTGACGAACTGTTCATTACACGAGTCCCACATATTTCACCATGGCGAGGAGGCATGAGTAACAAGTATTCAACTATGCTGTTCCGAAGGTGATGTACGGATCAGGTGGCCAGGTATGGTGACTACATGGTGATGCTCATGATGTCACCCACTGGATTGTCTGGTCCAAACACGAATATTTACAGGCCTTCGTCATACAGCTGGAATGTTGCTGAGTGAGGCGAACACACCAACAACACCTGTTCCATTGCTTCAAGTAATGTATAACCGCCTCTATGGTGTAGTAGTTAGAGCGTCCGCCCGGAGAGCGGAAGGTCGCGGGTTCGATCCCCGACCGCGTCATACCAAAAGACGTTAAAATATGGTACTTGTTGGTCCCTGCCTGGCGCTCGGCATTAATGGGTACAAGTACTGGTCGGCTCGGAGTCAGTATAATGTGTCTGAGTGGGGTATTCATGCTTCACTGCGGCATGGTATCTCAGTGGGCTAGCACTATAAAAACCAGCTTAAGTCTGGGCTCGTACAAGCAGCCGCACATACACATACACACGCATGCACGTCGTCATATGAGCGAAATATTCTCAAGCACGACTCAAAACCCAATTTCACCTCAAGTAATGTATCCTAAAAGTCAATTGTACGATACGTACTCTTAACAACAAGCAAGTGTACACGCCATATAGTATATACAATATTAATGATAAAACACCTATTCCACCACCCCTTCCTTCAATTCAATCTATCTGGGCTCTTGTTTGTTCGTGTTCACTGTTTAACAAAGTCCGGCCGTGACAGCAACACAATACTGGATGTAATAATCAATTTTCAATTAATCAATGGATCAATCTTTATTTCGTACTGAAGAGACCAAAGGCCTATAGTACATATACATATATAATGGGGAATTACATAAACATATATATTTACATTACAGTGATAAAACGTTTGTTAATCAATTTTCATCTCCGAAGACAAAAGTGTGTCCACAAAGGGGATCGATTGTCCACAATGACTGAAAATGGTTGGTAGTACGAAAGCGTGGTCAACCGAAACACCGACATCAAGACCTATGTAGGTCATCTCCTAGACGGACGACGACAAAGCTGGTCGATTTATTTATGTCCTATGAAACTCAACGAAGCGTATACACAGTGGAAAAAATTAAGCACCGTAATTTGTCTTCCATGGATATTTTTCACTATTTTGTTTGAAATCGTGACGAGTTCTCTTGAAAAACTCATTTGCTTTTTTCAGAGAGTGATATTTACAATCCATCTTTTCACCATATTACAATTACACGTACCAGCGACCTGCCGCACATTTTAAACTGAAACCACATACTGCCTGAGACATCTATCATAATACGGTCCTTGTATATGTATATCCACATTCCTATCATCACTATCTATCTATTTATCCATGTATCTATCCGTCCATCCATCTTCACTTTGTGAAGCCTAATTCATGTGTTACCAATCTTGATATCGTTTGAATATTGCGGCGTAAAACTATACTCACTCGCTCACTATCTGTCACATATATTGATGCAGATTTTGTTTAATCGTTTTGACTTTAGTTTGCAGCACATGCAAACGAAACTACTTTCTATATGTTCATATTGACTTAAAGATTTTAGCTTAATGGCAATGGCTTTCAGATATGTGGCGACTTCGTAACCAATTTGTACTCTAAACAATTACTGCTGAGTAGCCAGTTGTAAGGTATCTTCGACTGGCTTGACCAATAGCATCAAGGAATTTCGAAATTACGGTGACAAAAAGTCCTGTGAGTCCCTTTTAAACCAGCAAAATAGAACGCAGACAAGTCTGTAATATTCAATAATATACTGAATAAACAATAAACAAGGTTACAATGAATGGCAGTACATATTTCCAATACAATACAATTGAGTCACAAATCTAAAATATTGGGTCACAAATCTAAAATATTAACTCACCAAAGTCTTCATATTTCTAGTAAACATTGATTGTTGACTGATTGAAGATTGTTGACAGCTGTTAAAAGTGCAATGTAGACGAGGTCAGTTGAACGGTTGGTCTTGAAACGCTGATGTTAGCAGACAGATGGGCGTAAATCCAATGTAGTAGTAGACCCCTCATAATCTCAACAACCATCCCTTATATACCTGTTATACAGTTCTCGATAGTTCTATCAGTATCCTCGCCTCACTACGACCATTTAGATCACACTACGACCTTTTAGAAAGCACTGGAATGAATCCCACAGTCTTCTGCCGGAAGCAACATCAACAAAGAGGAGGTAACTCTAACTCCTCAGCTTACTCTCTTAACAGGTGAAATTACATAGCCTACGTTCAAGGAGTGAGTTCAAATACACACTCGGCCCTTTTAATTTTTGTGACCCATAATAACTAAATGCTAATTAATGTGACATTTTAATTAGCAAAAACACATCATCATAACAGTCTAAATAACAGAATGCTCAGTTATCGTTTTTAACAGATTGTGGTTTTATAGCAGTGTAAATATTTGGTTTGGAATTATTGTTCCCAGTAAGATTCAGTACAAGTTCATTAAACTGTATTTAAACAATAATAAGTTGTCAGAAATGTCAATGTGGCGTGCAAGTTACTGTATATCTTGATGCTGTGTTGTCAAGTTTAATCTGAAATCTCTATCTCACATTCCATCAAGGGTAGCTGCTGTGTGAAGATCATTACAATTGATCATTATGAATACATAATACCTTTTAGAAAGTGGTAAAATGTAACATATGTTATATTTGTGTTTCCAGTTTCTCAGTAAAGTACAGATTCTAGTACTCTTGAGTCTCACATGTGACTGAGTGAGTGAGTGAGTGAGTTTAGTTTTACGCCGCACTCAGCAATATTCCAGCTATATGGCGGCGGTCTGTAAATAATCGAGTCTGGACCAGACAATCCAGTGATCAACAGCATGAGCATCGATCTGCGCAATTGGGAACCGATGACATGTGTCATCCAAGTCAGCGAGCCTGACCACCCGATCCCGTTAGTCGCCTCTTACGACAAGCATAGTCGCCTTGTACGGCAAGCATGTGTTGCTGAAGACCTATTCTACCCTGGATCTTCACGGGCCGATAAGATTACTGAAGTGTGCTGGCGACTAAGTGCCTGTCTCTGCGACTGTCGGTTCGAATTCCAAATAGGGTTCAAGCCCAAACTACCACAGTCAGTACTTTACTGAGAAAGTGTAATCTCAAATATAACATATGTTACAATTGTAAATCATGTACCATTTTTTGTGTTAGTTCATGTTCATTCATGCGCACAAATGTCTAGGTTAACTTATTGTTTCATGTTGGAAGTCGACTCGTAACTACTCGACCTTACTACAAATATAGTCCCGTTGGAGTCCCAGGGAAGCATTGTGACTACTTACCAGTAGGAAGACGTACAAATCAACACACGGTTCCACAACTAAGACAAATGTATAAAAAACGCAACAGACGTTCGGGTTTTTTGTTTGATTGTTGTTTAACGCCGCACTCAGCAATATTCCAGCTATATGGCGACTGTCTGCAAATAATCGAATCTGCACCAGGCAATCCAGTGATCAACATCATGAGCATCGATCTACGCAATTGGGATATGATAACATTTGTCAACCAAGTCAGCGAACCTGGCAACACGATTCCATTAGTCGCCTTTTACGAAAAGTATGGGTTACTGAAGATCAATTCGAACCTGATCTTAAAGAATAATAAACGTTCATGAAAGTCTCCGTTTCTTCCAACTTAAATTTAATCATAAACCACACCTTAAATAATGGGTTTTAAGTTGATCTTCAGGAACCCATACTGGACACAACAGGCAACATAAACGGGTGGTCAGGACAGTGACATGATTAATTATGTGTCATCGCAGTCGTCGGCGTGCTCATAATATCAAGAACTGGTTTCTGAAGATGAGTCTATTTTCAGAGCTCTGTTATACAAAGCTCTGGTTTTAGTACAAACTTGTGTCAAACTGACATCCTAGAAGTACATAAAGTGCACGGTTATGAAATTACTATAAATAAATATTCAATAAAATAAATGTGAAACCTTATAGGACAAACAGTAGATAAAAATGAAGCACATGACTAGAGTCGATTTGTTGACGCACATTATCAGAAACTCAAGAAAATGATCGTAAAGATGAATATTCATGCGATGCTTGGTCGTACAAATGAATGTCGTTCAATTAAAACCCTGTTTCGCCTATTTGAAAAAGTCTAATGTATTCTCATTTTGCATATTGAGTTGGCGAAACAATTGCAAATCAACATATTCTCGGCAGGTACAGAGTTTTGTTATTGTCATAAAACCTGCATTTCCTATTGATTGTGTAATGCTTTTAGCAATAGTTATCAAATAATAGCCCGCGAAGGACCGGCAATAAACACATGGATGCTCTGAGCTACACAACCGCAACAAACACAATACCTTTATTGAGAGTGGGTCTCGCCAGGTACAGAAGCACGGGTGTGGCATTGTGCAAGCAGTATTGTTACTCGTCGAGTGGAATAAGTTTAACCCAGAAATCTGTTCCCAAACCAAACAAACAACGTAGAAATCTGGCAACGGTATTACACAACATAGTGACAATCACTACAGTTACAAATATAGAGTTAAAATACAACTGTCAGTAAAGTTTGTGAGGATACTAGAAGTACTTGCTAAAAGTACAAAAATGTAATTTCCTGGCAGTGTAACAAGTACTGGCAAACTATACGATCTACTTTTTCACCTTGCAGCAACAATGGTCAACCATCCAAAATAGGCGTAGGATGGGTATTCATGGTGAAAAGATCTTCACACGACCGCTGGTCTAGTTGTGAGCTCAGATGAGAGAGGCATACGCTTGTTTATATGTACTTATAATGTTCAAAAGCCTATCTATATATATTAAAAAGAATGAAAATACAAAGGAACTCGTTACTTCAGCATTTGTATAACTAAGTCTTAAATACTATTTATATCCATCCAGGTTAGAATTAATCTTCAGTAACCCATTTTGGGTGTAAGAGTCAACTAACGGGATCGGTTGGTCGGGCTCGCTGACTTGGTTGACACATGTCATCGTATTCCAATTGCGTAGATTGATACTCATGCTGTTGATCACTGGATTGTCTGGTCCAGACTCGATTATTTACAGACCGCCGCCATATAGCTGGAATATTGCTGAGTGCGGCGTTAAACAACAAAGAAATAAACAAATGGTTCAGTACCCTTCTGTGGGTCATGTCTTTTTGTTGATTCGATGTGTTAAGCTAAAACAGGAGAACGTGTTTGATGTAGAAGCACCCATTGCACACTGATGAGGATGAAAGGGCTTGGCACTACCGTTCGTAACAGTTTGTGGGGCGGTGGGGTAGCCTAGTGGTTAACGCGTTCGCTCGTCACGCCGAAGACCCAGGTTCGATTACCCACATGGGTCCAATGTGTGAAGACCTTTTCTGGTGTCCCCCGCCGTGATATTGCTGGAATATTGTTAAAAGCGGCGTAAAAATAAACTCACTCACTCACTTAACAGCTTGTATTTGCCTGAACAGTCATCGCTTCACTTCCTTGTGTAGAGTTCTGTCCCTTAGTCGAGCCAGGGGACGATAACAATTTGTTCGAACCCAATGTTCGCCCTCGTTATGTCACTAAGTTTGTAACCCATTGAAAATCTATGACCTAGATCACTATAGCTTTACGTACATCTTAACATGATAAATTGTTGAAAGCGGCGTAAAAGTAAACTCAATCATTCACGAGGTATCTCTTTGCTGCACAGAAATAACATTAACCAAGTACGTTTTAAGATGAATTTTGTTCAAAAATTTTACGCCCCAGTCATAGATTCGTCACGGCGGCCGGTAAACAGCAGTCTGAAAATCAATTATTTATATCATGTGCAATGCCCAAAGCCTCATCAACGTATCGGGGCGGTGGGATAGCCTAGTGGTTAAAGCGTTCGCTAGTCACGCCGAAGGCCCGGGTTCGATTCCCCACATGGGCACAATGTGTGAAGCCCATTTCTGTTGTCCCCCGCCGTGATATTGCTGGAATATTGCTAAAAGCGGCATAAAACCCAACTCACTCACTCATGAACGTATCCACTTTAGTCGCAAAGCACGATAAACCATTGAATGTTTGGAACCTATTCCGATGTTGCAATACTCTGAGATGGACTTCGATTTACTTATGTCATTACGAATTTAACATAGTGATTGTGCTGGTGATTATCACAGGCATCATGGCTGATGGAACTGTCTGTCAGCTGTAACAAAGCCACACTCTTGAATACACTGTGCTTTACGAAGTATTTTGCAAGAGAGTACTAGTGGTAGGGTGTAGGCTTGCCGTGGTATTTTAAATATACAGTGGAATTGTTTTTAATCAAGACTCCAACGAATACCAATTACATAATGATGCAGTAATAAAATGGACAGACATAACATTCATTAATCAGGACACTATTCAATCCGGATACGGTCATTACGACATACATATTATCGAGGTTTCGCGGAGTATAGAGGTGATTGGTAGCCTCAGGGTATCGTTACTAGATAGGGCAAAGATCTTGTTCCGATTTCCAGAATGATTCAATGTTTGGAGTCCATTCTCGTCTCTAAGGTATCTTTCGTTGATGCGTCACTATTTTTCCGATGAACATTGATACTGTTCATTTTTTTATGATTTCATAATCTGTACAGAAACTTTGTGCTGTGGGAAAGACTGAATACCTTTCCATCTTTAATTTTGAAATCACCCCACATACTCCTCGTCGTGGAAAGTTGACCATATTGGTATTCCCAGTGAGAATAGGTCCCCATCAGCCTATGCTAGTTGTATGCAATGTCCAGATTCCTTTTATTCCAAAGCTCGAAGACCGCTTCCGTTGTGTAGTGATTAGAGCGTCCGCCCGGAGAGCGGAAGGTCGCAGGTTCGATCCCCGGCAGGGTCATACCAAAATACGTTAAAATATGGTACCTGTTCATCTATGCCTGACGCTCGGCATTACTGGGTACAACAAGGTCTGGTCGGCTCCGAGTCAGTAAAATGTGTCTGAGTGGGGAATTCATGCTTAACTGCGGCATGATATCTCAGTGAGCTAGCACTATAAAACCAGCTTAAGTCTGGGCTAGTACAAGCAACCACACACATACATACGCATGCACCTCGTCATAAGAGCAAAATGTTCTTAAGTACGACGTTAACCCCATTCCACCTCCGCCCAAGGAAGTATGACAAGAGGGATGACATGCTACTTCCTTCTCGTCAACCTCCTCATCCTGCTGAGCAATACAGCAGCAGACCCAGTCGTATATGTCCACATTTCACAATATTTATAGGTACAATTGAGTACGTCCTTTCAGAGAGGGTCATACGGCTCATGTTTGAATGTTGGTTGATTAGGGCCAGACGTATCAAACTCTCAGCAAAGGTTTTATGGTAGACGAGTCCTCGATAAAGTTTCCTGGTAGTTGACTTTGCCAGATTTGACATCTCAGTGACCAAAGTAACATCAAATGCAGTTGGGAAAATATGATAAAAATGTAAATATATAAATATGATGAAATATATCATATTTTCCAGTGGTTGCTTTGTTAGTTTGGGAGAACAATTACCTTGGCAACATTTCTGTGTTTGTCATCGACCGTAATTTGGCCGCCTACCTGAAAATACAAAAACGTTTGAGATGTTTTGTTTCCGCTGACTCGAACTCAGGACCTACCAATTGCGCATAAATCTGCTTCCTTCCTATGTCAGGGCCGAGATGAAGGCTCTAGGTAGAGGAGAAGTGAGATTTACATGGTGGTTAAGGGGTAGGTATTAACATTCTTCTTTCTTTATCTCTAATTTATTAATACACTGTCATGTATAAAGGAGTAAAGAAGACCGAGGTGTTTAACTTTGTGACAGTAATATCTGAGTCGATCTATTATGGTGTTCTCTGTGGCATCTTTGTTGATCCTGTTAGTCGCCTCCTACGACAAGCATGGGTTGCTGATGACCAATTCTAACCCGGATCCACAACGTACAATAAACTCCGTTTGTAACGAACACCCTTATAGCGAAGTACTTTGAGTGTTTTGCTATATGTGTTACAGTCCGATAAGTAACACAAGCTACTCTTATGACGAACTGAAAATGTAGGCCCCTTTGAGTTCGTTATAACCGTAGGTTATTAAGTCACGACATACCGATTACCTTTTATCAGATCTTTGCCATGACGGTGTCAGTCAAAATAACAACAGACGATGTCATCTCTAATTATACCTATGTCACCTTACCACAGTTTTACACACTTAACAATCCCGGGGCAACACAGTGCAGTGTTCTCAGCATTTCTTTCATTGGCCCTTGTTGCATGGAACGGTGATTGTATCGATCCTCTGAGAGTGAAGTGAGGTCGTCCACACAAACTGTTTCAGTGTAGACAGACTCTGGGTGGGATATGGTGTAAGATGGCGTTCAAAAACAGAGGGCTAGTATTTGGACTTCGTATTCTACTGTTCTCTGTGACGCTACAGTTTTCTCAAGCAGCTGGTAAGTACATTATTTCTCAAATGTCACTACACTAAATTTATATCAATATATTTTATAAAACGACTTCCAGAAACCAAAATGCTTCCGTTCTGGTATCTGAAGGTTGTAGTAAGCTTTTAAACACCTGATGTTTGGAAACAATATGTCAATGGGCCATTTCCCTGTATGGTCCTGTGACATGAGTTGTGTACCGTTACACGCCAGGATACGAAGACACACTGATTCGCCTTGATAATGATCCTTTGTTGAGCATTGTACTACCTCGTTAAAACGGGTACCACTAAAGTGACGCTCCACGATATAAATGAATTACTGTTCAAAAAGGGATTTAACTAAATATGTAAGAGCGACAAAACCATTTCAACATCCATAAGAAATTTCTGCTGAATGCTCAGTCAAATTACATTCCCGACTACATCATGAGCATATATTTATGATTCATGATCACTATCAATCAAAGTAGTGATGATACCAGGTGTTCGTAAAAAGGCGAGCCCCATCGGAGGCACCCGTCGAACATTTTGAAAGAGGCAAGTTATTGCCCATCGAAAAAAAACAGGGATAGTGTAATACAAGTCAAAATAAGGAATTCCATCGGACATCATTTGTGTCACTGTTGCGACAAATGTATAAATTCCCTCCATACGTCTACCCAAAAAATGTTTTGAAAACTTTCACCTCATTACCGTATCAAAACCTCAGTTTATACGCATCAGTACCATAGCACATACGCATCTATACCACAAAACATTCGCATCAGTGTCACAAAACATTCACATCATTACCACATCAAAACTGCAGTTTATACGCATCAATACCAAAGCTCATTCGCATCATTGCCCAAAAAATTCACATAACACGGACCTAATCCAAAATTTATACACATCAGTACCACATCACATACGCTTCAAAACCACAGTTAATACGCATTAATAGCACAGTACGTTCGCATCAATACCACAAAACATTCGTATAAAGTCTTATGTAAGGCGCAGTTTATATGCATTAGTACCACAAATTATTCGCATCATTACCGCATCAAAACCGAATTACATGCGCATCACTGCCACAAACATTTCGCATCATTACCGCATCACTACCACAAAGCATTTGCATCATTACCGCATCACTACCACAAAACATTGCATCATTACCACATCACTACCTCAAAACATTCGCATCATTACTGCATCACTACCACAAAACATTGCATCATTACCGAATAACTACCACAAAACATTTGCATCATTACCGCATCACTACCACAAACATTTGCATCATTACCGCAAAACTCCCACAAAACATTCGCATCATTACCGCATCACTACCACAAAACATTTGCATCATTACTGCATCACTACCACAAAGCATTGCATCATTACCGCACCACTACCACAAAGCATTTGCATCATTACTGCATCACTACCACAAAGCATTGCATCATTACCGCATCACTACGACAAAACATTTGCATCATTACCGCATCACTACCACAAAACATTCGCTTCATTACCGCATCACTACCACAAAACATTCGCATCATTACCACAAAGCATTTGCATCATTACCGCATCACTACAACAAAACATTCGCATCATTACTGCATCACTACCACCAAACATTCGCATCATTACCGCATTACTACCACAAAACATTTGCATCATTACCGCATCACCACCACAAAACATTCGCATCATTACCGCATCACTACCACAAAACACTGCATCATTACCGCATAACTACCACAAAACACTGGATCATTACCGCATCACTACCACAAAACATTGCATCATTACTGCATCACTACCACAAAACATTCGCATCATTACCGCATCACTACCACAAAACACTGCATCATTACCGCATAACTACCACAAAACACTGGATCATTACCGCATCACTACCACAAAACATTGCATCATTACCGCATCACCACCACAAAACATTCGCATCATTACCGCATCACTACCACAAAACACTGCATCATTACCGCATAACTACCACAAAACACTGGATCATTACCGCATCACTACCACAAAACATTGCATCATTACTGCATCACTACCACAAAACATTGCATCATTACTGCATCACTACCACAAAACATTTGCATCATTACCGCAAAACTCCCACAAAACATTCACATCATTACCACATCAAAACTGCAGTTTATACGCATCAATACCATAGCTCATTCGCATCATTGCCCCAAAAAATTCGCATAACACGGACCTAATCCAAAATTTATACACATCAGTACCACATCACATACGCTTCAAAACCACAGTTAATACGCATTAATACCACAGTACGTTCGCATCAATACCACAAAACATTCGTATAAAGTCTTATGTAAGGCGCAGTTTATACGCAATAGTACCACAAATTATTCGCATCATTACCGCATCAAAACCGAATTACATGCGCAACACTGCCACAAACATTTCGCATCATTACCGCATCTGTACGACAAAACATTCGCATCATTACTGCATCACTACCACAAAACATTTGCATCATTACCGCATCACTACCACAAAACATTTGCATGATTACCGCATCACTACCACAAAACATTCGCATCATTACTGCATCACTACCACAAAACATTCGCATCATTACCGCATCACTACCACAAAACATTGCATCATTACCGCATCACTACCACAAAACATTTGCATCATTACCGCATCACTACCACAAACATTTGCATCATTACCGCAAAACTCCCACAAAACAATCGCATCATTACCGCATAACTACCACAAAACATTTGCATCATTACCGCATCACTACCACAAAACATTTGCATCATTACCACAAAACATTTGCATCATTACCGCATCTGTACCACAAAACATTCGCTTCATTACTGCATCACTACCACAAAACATTCGCATCATTACTGCATCACTATCACAAAACATTTGCATCATTACCGCATCACTAAAACCAAACATTCGCATCATTACCGCATCACCACCACAAAACATTCGCATCATTACCGCATCACTACCACAAAACACTGCATCATTACCGCATAACTACCAGAAAACATTCGCATCATTACCGCATCACTACCACAAAACATTGCATCATTACCGCATCACTACCACAAAACATTGCATCATTACTGCATCACTACCACAAAACATTCGCTTCATTACCGCAAAACTCCCACAAAACATTCGCATCATTACCGCATCACTACCACAAAACATTCGCATCATTACTGCATCACTACCACAAAGCATTGCATCATTACTGCATCACTACCACAAAACATTCGCATCATTACTGCATCACTACCACAAAGCATTGCATCATTACCGCATCACTACCACAAAACATTTGCATCATAACCGCATCACTACCACAAACATTCGCATCATTACCGCATCACTACCACAAAACATTTGCATCATTACCGCATCACTACCACAAAACATTCGCTTCATTACCGCATCACTACCACAAAACATTTGCATCATTACCGCATCACTACCACGAAACATTGCATCATTACCACAGTGCATTCGCCCCAATGCCACATACGTATAACAGACTTGTAAGGCGCAGTTTATACGCATCTGTACCACAAAACATTCGAATAAAAGACGCACCAAAACTGCAGTTTGTACGCATCAATACCACACATTATTCGCATCATTACCGCATCATAAACCGCAATACATACGCATCAACACCACAGTACATGCCACATTAGCATCTTTGTCCATGCGGATCAATACAACAGGACACGTGCACCAACATTCAAGTGGAACATCTATTCGCGACCCTGTATCTACCGGTCATCCATCACACATCTCTGTTATCATGCACAAGTCGGTACGGATCCATCGATCACTGTGACACTTTGTGATAGAACACCATGTCCTGGCAAACTCTGCCTAATGCATTTCCCATCCTCATCAACAGCCTAACAAATTGCCTGAACATGTAATATATATGACTAACAAGGGAGTAAACAGCCTGTGTCGTTTCCACTTGACATTGTTACATGTCCACGTGATTCATTGGCGGATCTGGGCGGATTCTATGTGACTTTGTTTGTAAAGGCTTGTGTAGCTTCGTAACCTTTGATGTGTTTGATAAAAAATGAAATACGCAGTTCAGAGAAATTTGAAAAATACGAACTCTAGGTAACACACATGTAATGTGATCGTGTACGCTTGCCTGGTATGTACATGGTAATATAATATATACATATACAAATACCTAGATGAACATAGAGAGATAATTAAAAAGTGTGGGAGAGGGAAAAAAAGAGTGAGAGAGAGAAACAGAGAGTGAGGGAAAGAAAGAGAGTGAGAGAAACAGGAAAAGTATGAGAGTGAGAGAGCAATAAGACCAGAGGTTATAAAAATATATTAGTGAGTGAGTTAATATATAGCGTCAATATGTCAGCCATATCGAGACGAGAACAATCTATATATTAAGGATAAAGACATTTAGAACATAAAAGTCTGTGGCTGGTGGACAGTAAAAACTACAAGAGTATCACAGAAATAAAGTTAAAACTAGCATGTCATAATAAAAAGGCATCATTAAAGAGAACAATACAATTAAAACAGGCTATATATTGCCAACAAATGAAAGTAGATCACCATACCAGGGACCATGGGGACTTATAGTACTTTTGCTACCTGCATGGACCCTAGCTGGATTTACACCTTACCTTCAGGAGATTAAAAAAACAAATATTCTACTATTAAACTTCGGAGAATGAACTTTTTCGCCCATGGTTGAGATATTTTCATAACGCTCTATATTAGCCGAATTAAGTTAAAATGAGTTAAGTTTTGTGTCATGATACTTAGAAACAACTTTCATTCATTTACTACCTCCAAAACATGAATTTTGAGAACAGGTAGATATTCAGGTAGTTTAAATTTTGAGTTTTACATTTAATATATACTGAACAAAATTGAAAACGCACAACTTATAAAAGTTCAGATTATTAAAAGCACGTGTAAGGA